GTTAATAAAATTTAGTTGAATTACCTTTTTACATGGTCATATCTATTAATCTGAATAAAATGCAGAGCTAGATGTTTTGGGAATTTTTGTTAGTTGTTAACTATGATATGATGAAATAATGCACATGTTCCAGGTCGTAAAAATATTTAACCAATATAATTTCCTGTTCAAGTAAGTAAAAAAATTGTAAATATTTGACTATTATTTTGAACCACCTTTTAACAGAATTACCTTTGACATTATGCCGTCCACTAGCGAGAGTTTTATTCAAATTTTTACTGAATATTCTTTTGTGAATTAAAATATCAGTTTTAAAACAGTATTGATAGTATTAGAATAGAATGTCTTTGTGTGAATAAAAGCACAAAAGACAATTTTAAGTTTTAATTCAGGATATTATCAGTAGGAAGATTCTGAGAGGAAAGTGTGTTTAATCAACAATGCACTATTTGAAAAAAGTCAAAAATGCGATTAACAGATGAATGAACAAAGTTGCATAGTTATTTACATGAAATCAAGGGTTTGATGACAACACAAATACTGTATATTAATATTGTTGTTCAGAATTCAAATCCTGTTTGATAAAACAAACAGCTCCAGAAATGAAATGAAAAGGATGAAATAAAACTTACCAAATATATCTTGATCTAAAAGATCAGGTGATAGACGTGAAGACTGGTGACTAGATACTGGTCTTAAATATTTCTCACTAAGATCAGATATTAATAATTCATCAGATAGTGATGTTGATAACAACTGTTCTTTATCATGAATAGTTCTATCAGTTTGAGCTATTAAATCATCTATTTCTATAGAAAAACGATTCAATGTCTCTGAGGCTGCTTTACGACATTCAGCAATATCAACACTAGATTTTGAAGGCGACACATGTTTGACTGTTTTTCCAGGAGATATTCCTACCAACTTAATCCCTTTTTTTACTGGAGAAAATGATTCATTGATATCTAACAAATCGGGAAATTCTTCATTTTCTATATCGCTACTATTATCCTTATCAACAAATGTCGCCACATCTAAGTTGGCACTAGATGTCTGTTTTTTCCATGAAGAATTGAAATCAACTAATAAATCTGAAGATGGTTTAGGAGGTGAAAAAGTCCTTAATGTCACTGGGTCATCATCTTGTAAAGAATCAAAGTGTCCTATTCTATCTGTAAACACTTGATCTGTTTCAGAAAAGGAACTGTCTACTGAATTTATAGCAGCTGTTTTACGTAATATTCTGGGAGTTTTTGTGTTGAAAATGTCATCCAAATCATCTTCAGATGTCAATTTTAATTTACCAAAGATATCACTTTTTCGACCTGATTTCAACAGATCTGCCGGCTTGTCAGACTCCATTGGTGAAGAGACCACTAAGCTAGGTAACTCTCTGTCTAAATTAGAATCATGTAAATTCAATAAACTATCGTGTTTAGAGTTCAAGCTATCTAACATATCATCCTGAGGTGACATTGATCTTTGCTCCATTGTTGTAAACTCAGATTTTTCAGGTGATTGCAGTCCTGAAGGAGAATTGTGTAAAAATGGTGGTTGTTGTTGATCTACTGTTAAAAGACCACTATCATTATCCTCGGTTATTGTTAAAGTATTTTTAGGTATAACTGTAGTACAAGAAGAGGTATCATTAAGATCAGTAGACTGGTGTGATGGAAGCGGTTCAACATCATCAGTAAAAGATAACTTTATTCTAGTATTATCAGCAGTGAACACAGCTGGATACCCTTGTTGGTTTGGTTGTGGTTCTTCTACAATAAAATAACACATTTCAATTTTAATTATCTTAATAGTAAACATATTTTAATATTTTATTTAAATAATTGCATTAAAAGTGTCTACAACAGTTATATCTATAGACCTTATAATGTGACAATGCCCACAAACTTTCACTAACCTTGATCATTACCTTCAGGACTTCGCCTAATTTTATCTTGAGATACAAAGACACCATCATCTGCAACAGAATGAAATTAAAGTAGGACTTATAGAAACATTACAAAACAATGGCAAACCCATATTGACACAAAGATTAATCTAAATCTTGGCTTTATATTTTCTGGAGAATACAGAACCCTAAACATAATATATAAAAAAAATATTGACCATATAACATTTGATTTCATTTTAATGACTCTGCAGAGTCTGAATATTATAATCTATCTTACCTTGCGCTGCAATAGGATTGAGTAAGTTAATATCTAAATCATCGGACTGAGATAATTCTAACTTATCTAGACTAGTACCATCTACTACAGCAGATACTATCTGTAACACACAAATATTCTTAGTCATATGGAGCTAAATGACTGTTTATAAAGATGACAACACTAATCTGTCTGAACCATTTCTATTTATGCAAGATATTTACAACTAGTACAATATTGAGTGAAAATAATGATGACTCTCTAGTGTTATCTCAATGTTAAAATGTCATAAATCTAGTTGTAATCACAACCATGTACAATAAATTGACAATCTTACTTTGTTTTTTAGTTGAATATCAGGGAATGGGTAAAGGGGTTCTAATGATCATGAAATAAATTTAAATGAAATGAAATTTTTCTGCATCATTTTGATATTTTCATACAAACACTTTTATGTAACTTTCAATGAATATTCTGTAATTTTCAACTAATAGATAACAGTCTGCAGGCTACTGACCTTGTCCACTAGTATATCATGAGATTTAGGTCTCTTTGTTTTAGCTGGTGTATTCCTTCTACTTTCATTTCTTACCGAAGGAAATGGACTCTATAATAAAAAGGTACTATACAAAGAGTTAATGTTAAAGTTAATATAATATAGATACTAAAGCCATATGATATACATCTGCAAGATAAAATCTTCAGTAACTGGTCTTGAAAAAAATGTTGATACAGAGCCATTGAAGAAATTTAAATATCGCAATGCAAAATGAGCTATTGGAATTCTGAAAGTAAACTAATTCAACATACCGATTTAATTTTTGGTTCTTCTGCTAACTTTGAATTAACTTTAGGCATATGTCTCTTTTGTATTGGTGTAGAACTTTTCAAACTAGTATCTTGTGTCTCTTTTTTATGATTGTTAAGATTTGGTTTTGATGGAAGATGACTATTTAGTGATTTTGATGTTTTGATACTATTTGTGTTCCTGCAATTATTAGAAATAAAATATTCACTGAATAGAAAATTAAATAAACAAAATAATTTGATGTTTGCTTTATTCTGTCCACTTTACAGCAGTACGAGTATCAGTTTTTGTATTACCAGAGTTCAAACTATGTGCAACAAACAAAGGGTATATAGATAGAATTTAAAATGGCACAGAAAGGATTAATAGGTTAAATTTTTATATATGACAGTATCTTTTCTTTTGATACCTAGAATTGGAACAGACATCTGTGCAGAATTCACCAATAAAGCACCACCTAGATGCATCAACAATTGAACACTTGACTATAAGTTAATTGTAATATTGATTCAATAAAAGAAAGTTACTAACCTATTACTAACTGGTATTGAAGTACTAGTTGAAGGTATAAATATAGGACTACCTTGATGATATTTATTTATTGTTTTCCGTGATGTTTGTAGTACTGTATCTATGATCTCATTAGCAGCTTCAGGTGTAGATATATCTTAATTAATAGAGAAAAATAAATACAACAATGGTTGTCAAAATTCTCAATAATCAAGTGCAAAACAGTTCAAGAAAGGTATGTCTCGATTTTGAAAGTCTTTTGAGACCTTGTGTGGTAATCAGTTATTGTTAGATTTTGTCTAAGAAAAGATATTTCACCCATTATTAACCACAATATGCATTATTATTTCAAATTAAAGTTAAAAATTCTGTATCAAGAAGACAGTAAGGCGCTTTCAGTATTATTATTATCTAATAACTGTATAAGAACTTAGATGTTTTTAATTGTGTGCTGATTTTTATGCTACATAGACATTTAGACATTAGACCTACCTTGTGTGGATGTTTGATATAGAGTGGAAGGTTTTTGATTAACCTGGATATCATCTTGGGGTGTAAATGAAACAGGTGGTGTCGCAGTAGATAACTCAAATCCTGTCTGAAAAACAAAGTTATCAAAGTCATGGTTATCCAACATTAAACTAAAGGAGTATCTATAAATTGTGTATGTTTTAAATGATTAAGAGACTATAATTCATCTATTCATAAGAAAATAGTTGTAATACATTCAATTAAATTATAGACTAACAAAAACACAGTTCTAAAAGCTTGTGACAAAATGCTATTTGATGATAAAGTTGAAAGTTATTGGTAATATTTTTGTCATTACCTAATTAGAAACACTTATTGTATGGAACAATACTGAACAAGTTATAAAACCATAACATAAATATCTAACAAAACAAATCATAAACATCATCAAAATTCTCATGCTGTAATAGTTCTAGGTATACATACTACACACTTTCTGAACGATACACCTTTACTAGTACGCTGAATTACAAGGCACATAATATCATGTTATCTACTTGTGAATTCTCAAGTTATGTATCAATTCTCTAAAGGACTATACTCCAGAAAATTTTTCTGTGCATAACTATGTACAATTCAAAACATAATCCTGAGAAGACTTGAAACTTGATCAATTGAAACTATATGATCAGGCATATTTTATCTTGGTTAGCAATTATATTACCTTGTGCTTATGTTTTGAATCTTCAATGGATACATTATCTGAGATTTCAGAATCTTCATTTTACATTAGAAGTCATTAATGTTTCACTTCTAGAATCCTTCAAAGAATGGATTTAAATTCTGTAATGTAAGAAAGCTAAACATACATACCATTGTTCTAGATGTATTTGGAGTTCTGTGTTTAGACGTAGATAAAACAGTATCTAAGTCTGTACGGAGTGATGATATAGACTGTTTTAATTCTGGTAATAAATCTTCAGATAACTTCTCTCTTAAAAAAAAACAAAAAAAACAATCATTTTTACTGGTATAATCACTCTATATCAAACCAATTTATGATCTGATGCTTATTTCAACTATGTGTTGGATAGTTTCAAATGACAACAGGTGCATAAGTGTAATGTAAAATGTTTATTTACAATATCCCCATTGTTTGTTTTAACACAACATAACTTTTGAGCTCCACACCACAAATACCAGTTGTTGGGTCCTTTATAAATAGATATCGCCAAATTACGCTTCTAATTAGTGCTCATTTGAAGAAAGATGTATTACATCGAAACAAGATCATTAATATTAAATAATAATTACAAAGAGACAAATAGCTTACCTTAATCCCTGTGCATTAATCAGATGAGCATTATGTGTATGAAGTTGTTGTATTACTGATGAGTTTTCATTCTCTATATCTTTAGATGATACTAAATAGAAATTATTAGTTAGCTGTCTTAATTACTTAACTATGTACTTGGATAGTATATATCACTAAATTGATTTAATTAGTTTTCCAATTACACAAATAAAATATTATATAAAATAAAACAAATGGTAAAGCACTCACCATTTTGTAACCTTTCAATATAGAGATGTAATGATAAATTCCATAACTGTATTAAACTTAGCAGATTAACTTTTCCACCTTTATATGTATTATCTACTTGTCTCTATAATAATATAAATGTTTTAATACACAATACAAACCAGTAATAATTACCTGATTTTATTTCTGAATTGAGATTGCTGAATTTATATGTAGATAAGTTTTACAGATCTTGTAAACATACTGGGTAAATGTTAATACCAATCTTGATTCAAAACCAAGCACTGATCAAGTAAAATGCCATTTGATCATGTAAATCACATCTTTAAGTGCACCTCAAGTTTTTCCATTCAAATTTTTAAACATCAATTAACCTCTTTTTTTTTGGCTTAGTCAAAGGCAATATTTTCAAATTGAAATATCTAACAATATAAAACTCATCACTAATGTATTAATATAATTGTCTTACCCGATGTATTTCTGTTTCACATTCTCTCAATAGTATATCAGGTATCTTAATGTTTAAATCTGTAGCATTAATTCCTGCTGATGATTGTTTATTTTTAGATAATATTTCATCTAATATAGCTTGTATTATCTCTCTATCTTTACTATCTTCTGACTGAAATTTCTCAACTTGTCTCCACATCTCTCTTACCTACAATATATAATCAACATCAAGTCAAAATAACATACACCAAATGAGCATAGTACAATGTTCTTTTTTATCATTAATGTTTAAAGTATTTAAGACCTTGTTTATTTGTTCAAATGGAATGACATGACACGACATTACCAATTTAAGGAGTCTTGAAAGAGTAGAGTTATGTATTTTTGTGAAGAAATGCCATAACAGTGGACAAACCTTTTGTATTCTTTGTGTTCTTCTAACACTTTGACTATCTAAATCATATTCTAAGCTAAAAGATTTTCTCTTTGACATACCAGGACTGTAATTAAATAAATATACATATAAATAGAATGATATCAAAAATATTAAATTAAAAATGGCAGCAACACAATTACTGCACATATTTCCTCAAATTGGAAGTCGTTCTATAGCACAGTTATTTAGAGCATTGGTTAACATCAAGCAAATGGCAGCTGTTGGTTCGAATGTCAGTTAACATGTGCAAGTCTGATGAAGTCATCTTCACTCATAATTCCAGTAGACCCAGCTGCAAAGGATACAGATAATCTGGGAAAGATCAATACAGGTTTTGCCAAAGGACCAGCTGGTAGAAAGGATCCTTGTAAAATATAGTTGTTGCTTCCTTTCTTTTCATGACTTCATGTAATGAGAGACAAACAAATTAGTAAAACTAACGAAGAAAAGTGGGGTGTTAAGATTTTGTCAT